AAATGTTAGGCTACTCTATTGCCCTACATTAGTAATAATCTAGCTTATGGCCTGATGATCCGTTCTTTTTATAAATCTATTATATCAATGTCCCTTGGAAGGGACCGTCGGGTGTAAAGGGTTAATGCATTATTTTTCTTCCAGTAGCAACTAGACCACATTAGAGTTAAAAGATAGGTCGTCAAAGTTTTGTGTAAATAAAATTCCAATCTAGTCTGAACTATAATAATCTTCACGAAAAGTCGATCATAAATATTCCCAGACCTCTACGGATCTTTAGAGGATCTCCAGAAAACTTTTGAATCTTCTATCAGTTTTTGAATGTTGTCTATGTGAAACAACGAATGACGTTGGGGCTGAATGTCACTGAGAATGAATGAATAAATTTTGTCAACCATCTCTTTTGCCGTTCTTCACTTGAACACTTTAAAACGTTCTCTATTAAAGAAGTATTCACACAAAAGTACAACGGACGGTTTATCTCGAATAAGATAATTATCACCGAGTCAAATTATTCAGTCACTATATCGAATTTTAAAAATCGAAATTATACCGCGTTTTGTATTCGATTTTTGTATATCTATGGTTAAACGTCGGTCTGTGCTCGATCGTAGTGTTGCTGTTTGTCCATTGTTCATGCGTTTCACCAGAACGCCGTTTTCTTTCGGTTGTTCACGACCGGATAGTCGAGCAAAATCTTTCTTAGCTTGTATTTCACCACCTTTCTTTCCATAAATTTTCGGACGACCTTTTTGACGTTCTGGATTAGCTCCTTCCAAAATCTTTTTTATTTCCGTTTCATCATCATCTCCATCGCTTCCACTACTATCTCCTGATCCACCATCATTACCTCCATCAGCTTGCGGTTCATATTGTGAGCTTGTAGCAGTGAAAGAATGGCTCTGTTCATTATACGAATTTCGAATGAACGCTATCAAAGACGTCATACTTAAACCACTAAGCCAAAGAATTTGGTCAATATTTTCATTAAGAAACGATGTTAACAAATTGTAATCGATATATGAAAATATGCTGCGAATCTGAGTAAGAACGAGTGGTGCAATACGTTCTATCATCATAAGTCTAAAAAATGCGGAAAATTAATGCAAAATCAGTGTAGAAAGATGTACTTCAGAAAGAACGGATGTATTTTGCTACAAAAAAGCATAAAACGTTCGACCCCTCTTGCATTTTCAGCATAGCTCAAGTAAAGTGGAGCTTCTTACTTTACGATTAAATGTTCAATAAAAGAAAGAAAATTTCATTCATTTACACTGTAAATGTAGAAAATCTTCTTTCTTTTATACCTGCGTTCTCAAAACGACGGTATTTTCCAACTTCTATTTTACTTGTGTAAACGGAAAGGAATCAGTAAAATTTATAATTTATAAGAAAAAAACCCACAGAGTGAAAACATTCTTGATTTAACATAAAGTCTTCCGTCATTTTCTTTCTCTTCCATTGGAAGTTGCGCTTTGAGATTGTTTTCTTTTCTGGCCATTTAGCTACTCGAGAAAAATCAAAGTACTATTATCCATTTCAAAACAGAAAGACCATGGCCATTTGTTTAATAACTTTTTCTAGGATGTAGCTACGGAGCTGCGGTCTTCACTAGGCGAAAGAAAAATGTTGGAGCAATAAAAAAAACC